GCTACAAATTTTTACCTATAGGGATCTTTTTTTCGTGCCAGCACCTACTGCGACACGGGACCTCGGTTAATACGGTCTCCTTATCCCACAGTGTCCTCTATTGTGAGAAAATTTTGTAAAAATCTTCTTTCTTTCTTTTCTTTTTTTTTTAAATATCAAAGGTGCAGATTGAAAATTTATCTGAAAGTCCTATATATTGACAGGTATTTAAATCACATGACCTGAATTTAAATCATGACCTGGCAAACCAAAACCACAAAGTAGATTGTCAGACAGTATTTTGGAAGCCATATTGATACTACAGGTAAGATATTTTCTTTTATTTTAACATATCACACTTTTTTTGCTACAAAATATCCTCTACCTGAATTAAAAACAAAAATTGTGAAAAGTGAAAATCCTTCAAAAATTAGGAGCAATAATATAATTATGCATGATTATACTGTACATGTGTTAAGAGTCTCAGCATGGGATTTGAAATCATATTTGTATCTAAAACCCCACCACTGATGATTTTTTTCATGACATTTGGTTTAAGATTGGTTGACGTCTGACACATGAAGTCAGAGTAATACTTATACACGATCACTTGAAAATATAAAATACATGGTCGCGGTCAATACAAAGTTATCTTTTATTTTGTTACACTTAAAATAACCCGGGTTTCTGGGTATTTTAGATTGTTATTAGACAAGAGGCTTGCTGATAAATAAACATAAACTCTAGTCGAAGGTGAACTTTATTTAAAACAGGCCAGCTCTCCAAAATAGCAACTATTCTCCTTGTTTCATTTTCTTCACATTGTCAAGTATTTCTTTCAATGATTTTCATCCTTGGTAATTTTTTTTACTTGTAAATCACATTATCATGATAATTCCATATATTTTCTTATTAAAAATATTTCTTTCTTACCTATTTATTGATATTGTCATTTTAATTTGCACAAAGCATAAAAAATAAAATTCTGACCAAAGAACTTAGACTTTACAATTTTTTGTCATTTTACAGTATCATCTAGATTTGGTCATGTGAAAAGACTGTATGGACCCCATAGACAGAGCTTAGGTACTTCCCCTTTGTGACTTGTGTCAAAGAGCAGCACTGCAGAGTCATTGTGAACTTTGTCAGATTAACCTCTGTAAGGCCTATGTAAGGGAGCATCTCTCTGATTTATCCCAAAGACACAAGGTTGTACCGTACAAACACAGAAAATCTGCTCCAAACTATCCAAAATGTTCAAACCATACCCATACCCACTGTGAATTTTATTGTGAGAAATGTGACATTCCTGTTTGTTCTACCTGCATCTCCTCTGAGAAACATCATGGGCATAAAATTACAGAAATTCTGAAAAAAACTAAGTTATACAAAAAAGAATTTAAAAAAAGACTTGGAAGAATTAGAGAAAAGAATTTATTCTGCATATGAAGAAATTACATTAGATCTAAACTCTGAAAAAGTAAAATGAGAAACTGACAACAGTTGTCACCGAGCAAGAAGAAGACTGGCACAGAGAAATTAACATCACTGTCAAAAAACGAAAATCTGAAATTGATGAGATGAAATCTAAACACCTGGCTGTTTTAAATAAACAGGAAAAAGAAACTAAACAGATTACTTCTGATGTCAAACAGAGTATTCTTGATCTGAAGAAAATACTTTACTCCAATGATATCTCCCTAACCTTTGCGTACAAATCAAGGAATGCTGAATTTAGAAGTTTATCTCCTAAAATCAATGTTTCATTTCCAAGTTTCTATCCTCGTCAGATCAACACAGAACAGCTTCATCAAATGTTCGGATCACTGTTAGCATTATCCATTACAACAGAAAAACATGGCTACACAATGAAGACACCAGAAGCTGTATTTTGTCCTCTAGTCAAACCACTGCTTGAAAAACCAGAGCTCATCACCAACATAGACACGGAATATAAAAACAAGCTAAACAGTGTTGCCTGCCTCAGTGATGAAGAAATCTGGACACAGGGAGAAGACAAAATAATGAAACTCTATAACATCCGGGGCAAACTAGTGAAGTCAATCCAATCGAAGTCAGGGAAAATACCAGGTGACATTGCAGTGACAAGGAAGGGAGATCTTGTTTATACTGACCCTGATACAAGCACTGTAAACATAGTGAAGAAGAAACAGATAAAAGAAGTGATCAAACTACAGGGGTGGATACCTTACACTCTCTGAAGTACCTCCTCCAATGACTTCCTGGTGACCATGGTCAGTAATGAAACTAAATCAAAAGTTGTATGTTACTCTGGCTCTACAGAAAAACAAACCATTCAGTTTGTTAGTGAAGGTACACCTCTGTATTCATCTAGTTGCTGTAAATATATCAGTGAGAACAGGAACCTGGATATTTGTGTGGCTGACAATGGAGGAGATGCAGTAGTGGTGGTTAATCAGGCAGGGAATCTCCGATTTAGATACACTAGTCAACCCTCTGGTGTTTTGGGATTATTCCCTCCATATGGCATCGCAACAGACAGCCAGTGTCAGATCCTGACAGAAGACACTAAAGAAAAGTATATCCACATCCTAGATCAGGATGGACAGTTCCTCCGTTATATTGATAACTATGATCTGGACAGTCCAGGTTGTGTATGTGTAGACACCAAAGACAACCTCTTTGTGGCCGAGCTTTACAGTAGTAAAATGAAGAAAATCAAATACATGTAAATACTGTCATTGAAAGTTTCTATGATAATATACAGTGGGCCGCGGTAATCCAGAAGCCAATAATCCGGTCGCTTCACCTTCCGGACAATATTTTTTTGGAAACTGATTTTATCCACATTATTCTGTCTCATTTATCTGAAAATTCGCATACTGGATCCGGACGGTAAATTTCTACTACAAAACGTAATATTTCATTGAAAAATGACTCGTTTATCCGGAGGGTAATTTTTGAAGGAGCGGCTTTTTTTATACCTTTCTTGCAGTAGTGATAATTGTTGTAAAATATTATCTGTGGAGTCAGTTTGAAAGTGGTTACCTGTGACCTCCAAACAATAGTGTCTATAATTAGCATGTGTTAAAACTGTTTATCTCAAATAAAACACGTCTTTTACATTATAAACTCGAAGAATTTAGCTTATAGTGTGCATTAATTCAATACAAATCCGTTCAGTATAGAATTGATTGCTAACCATATATAAATTTATGAGAATTTTGGAGAGTAAAATGAATAATAAATCACGAGATTCCCTTGTGGTATTGAGTTGCGTAATTTTATCAACAATGATTTTCCATTTCTCAAAGCGTACATTATTTGAAACGATTTTTTTTTCTTTTCATAAGACAATTTATAAGAATACATAAATCAAGAAAATATTTTAAAATTTAATGCACTAAGAAATACGTAACTGGTCTTAGTTATAAATGCCGATCACGTTTTTTCAAGGTATATATCTTACAGTTTATGAGAAAAATATTGAAAATCCTGAATTTGGCTTGTGTTTACGTTGAATGTTTACAATACGTACATGTACACTGATTACTGTGTTCTGTTACTTACTTTCCTATGTAGAGAAAATATGCAGTGAGTCATTTGAACATTCTCAATGGTGATAATGAACAGTTCTACCTAATATGAGCTTGAATAAATAAAAGAAGGTTAAAAAACAGTAGCAGATCAAAATTTGGTCGGCCCATGTAACCAAACGACAAATAAAAACGATTAAAGTTTCTGTGTTAAAAAAAGGAAGTTCTTAACATAAAACTGCCTTCACATTTTCTTATGTAAATTACATTTTATTTCTTTTTTTAATATTTATCATTTCTTTTTAAACTATCAAAATAAAAACGATAAATCAAGGTAGAATAAAGGTTTTATCTTTGCCTTCACTTTCGATACCACTATTCGTGTTTGAAAGGGTCTTTTAGAAGTGATTCACTTATCCGGATGTTTCATTTATCCGGACGATTTCCTTAATTAGGGACGGAGGCGTTCGGATTACAAATGCAACGAGGCTCCACAGACATGAGGGAAAGAAAGAAACACGACATTGAATGTATGAACAGTGGGTAAGTATATTTAAAGACCTAATGTTAATTTGCTTATATTAATAAAAATAATCTATTTACTTTGTACTTATTTTTTTTAATTCACATCATTGTGAAGTGAATGTAAAACATCTTACTGAATCAGACGAACATAAATACATGAGCACAAAACAAAGATTATTTTGCACAAAGATAGTTTATGATTAGAAAGTAAGCCATGGACCTAAACAATGGAAATTAGAACTATGTAAATTCAGTTACAGTCAATATTTCAAACCTTTGTTGATAGTGCTATTTCAGAAATCATTATAATTAACCAGAATTCTCTGATGAAACTGAAACTCTACCGGAATGTACTTATAATACAGAAAGAGGTATTTTTAGTAGTCTACTTGTGTAAAAATCCTTATCAGATCAATTAAGTAACAAGTATTATTTAAAGTGGACCAAAATTGTAGGAGTAGAATCATTTTGAACGAATTTCAAGAAAAATTCTATTTTTAGTATCCAGACAACACCATTTGTTAAAATCAAAACCATTTTACACAATTATGTTTCTTAATAGAGTCTGCTTGTGTTCTAAGTTTTATTAACATTGTACATAAACTGTAAGAGGGGTAATGTTTCGAAAGAATTTCAAAAAAAATTCTATTTATAGAAACCTTGCAATAGTGTTCGTCAAAATCAAAAACTGATACATGGAATTAAGTATTTCAATGTAGTCTACATTTTCATGTTTTACTTTAATTAGATTAAAACTGTAGGAGTAGTAGCATTTTGAAAGTTAAATGACTATATGCTCAAACTTAAACTCTTGTAGGAAAAAAAATGTTGGGCCTAGTTTTTCATGGAAATGACTCAGGTTTCCAAATTAAGCCATCATTTCCTCACTTGTCTGACAAGGTTTTGTACCAGTTTCTCCATGGTGAAGGCGATGTAGGCATGGATGCCATACATCTCTCTTAGCTGGTCCTCATACTATGTGGATTCTAGGTTCCCATCCAACAAACTTTTCATCATCTCCAGGAAGTATGGATAGTGTTCCTCTGGTTCAATCTCAACTGTAAACATGACAACAATCAAAACAATTGTCTTGCCAACCATTACATGTTATTATATTCAATGCAATAAGAGAAGGACTGAATGCTTTGTAAAACATGATATTCTATTGCAATAACTGGTCAGAGTTACAGTAAAAATTGTCTTATCCAGATGTTGTGAATTCCACAAATTTTTTATTACGAAATAAATTTTAGGTCCCTTTAGTTAATTTATTTCTAATCCAGAATGTTGTCTAATCCAGCCAATTTTTATGGAATCAGTGGTCTCTGGATTAGGCAAGTTTCACTGTATATCTGGAACATTGATATGGCTATGCAAAGTGAATCCTATAACAATATACTGAATTTGAATTTTACGCTTGATACCTTGAATCCGACAAACTTCCCATGTTGTTAAGATTTGAACTGTAAGTGTAATATACTAGTGTCCTCTAGGTTTCTTACTTGGGGCTTTGAGTCTGAGGGCCACTGCAGTGGATGCCTTTCGGTCTTTCCTACACTGCGCCTCCTCTGCAGCGATTTTAACAGAATACATATATATCTTGTACAGGCTCTCATATAGAATGTGATGGAGGCGGAAAAACAGATACCAATTATTGTTGACAAAGAACAGCAAATAGATGTAATCCTGCCAATTCACAAAAGGTTAGATTCAGAAAAAAGTTAAAAGTTGTAGCTATGTGTATATATTAAATAAGAAACTAATCAAACACAAACTATATTATTACAGAAATGGAGCAAGAAAAATCTTGTACAAAAGAATTTTTATTATTTAAAATTAATTCACTAGTTTTAAAACTTTCTGAAAAAAAAACAAAAAAAAAAAAAAACAAAAAAAACAAAACATGTACATACATTCTCGATATCTTCGTCGTTAGTGTTTTCCTCCTCGTCGTCGTTGACAACAGCTGGGTCTACAGACTTACTCGTACTCCTCCTCCATTTTTATCTCGGGATCAACCTTCTCCTCTTTGGCCTTCACCTTTACATATTAACACTGTGCATCTATTATTTTACTTTTTGATCTGACATTTATTTCGGGTCTCCTAAAGCAGAACATGGAACATGGGAGGCGGGGGTATCATTTAGTGAGCACTGTGCTCACAGTACCTCTAGTTTTCTTCTGCTTTTTGGCATTCATCAGCATCCATGTCATCTACAATGTAACACATGTAAACCATTAGTAAAGTTACTGAAACTTTGCATTAAAAACTGATTAAAAAATATTTAGTTTACATATTTGGACTAAATAACAAAACATTTATGAATATATATATATATATAATAAGTATAATAAGATTCTGAAAATTGCAAAATTGACTTTTTGACCAAAAAATATGGAATTTTCATTTCTGCTTTTGTTGTAAAAACTTAAGATAAATGTAATGGGAAGCGTTAATGAAATGTTACAGTTAACTGAGAATCAAGCAGATACGTTAAGAACGAGTAAGAGTTATCTCCCTGTACCTTCTTCCTCATCATCACTAATTTCCTGCCGTGACCTACAAAAGGAAAATATAAAGAAGAAATGTTGAGCCCAAAGTAGATTGGATTGTTATGAATATCGATACTTTGTACAGCCAAGCTTTGACTCGTCAATATCGATTTGAAATACTCAGCACAGTACAGTCCCTGATGGGTTTAAAAATCCATCCATTATTTGCGACACTAAAAATTTAATATCAATATTCTTTTTACAGGTAATTAAACTTTTTAGAATATACTCTTTACAGAAGAAAACCCGTAAATATGATAGACTCTGGAAAAATAAATAGGTTTTATACGACAATAGGTATTATCTCCGAAAACTTGAAATGAAAGTGTACGGAAAAGTTTCTAACAGTTGTATTTTATGTATTAGATTTTACTAAATTTAAATCTGTTGACTTCTTCTTTATCCAATATTGCACATGCTAGAATATCCTTATTCTCAGGACATCTTATATGAATACTTCAACTTATTAAGCTTTTTAAAAAAATATTTGATACAAGTAAATGTTTAGATTTCATATGTATATGCTATATTTCTCATTAAAGTTTTATTAAACCATCTGCGAGTGTTTTTAAAAATTCAGCGATTATTTCAAGATTTTCATTACATGATTAAGAAAAATACATACAATGGAGGGAGGAGAGAAGAAAAAGTACAAGGAAATTAAATAAATATAATATAAAACATTAGCACAAGAAAATTCATTATTTATTTTTATTTCACATTTGTTTTTAAAGTCACATGATACTATACAGCACGTACTTTGCGCATTTACAAGTTCACGTGTCAAGGAAAGTTGAATTATTGACAGCGTTGGATTCTGTGTGAAAGTAAAACTAGGTTGTAAATAAATGATTTTATTAAAACAACTGACCTAGTAATGAAAATTAATTCATTTTCACTCTCCCTCTTCATCTCTCTCTCTCTCTCTCTCTCTCAATCTAACAAAGTTTCAAACGATGAGAATGATCAAAATACAATGACTGCTAAAACATTCAAACATCATGCAAATATGCAAAGAATTTTTTTTTTTTAGAACTAATTAGCAGTCTATGATTATAAAAAATAACTAAGCAAGAGTTACATACCGTGAGAACGACCGATTTTTTTCTTTTTTCTTTTTATTTTCATGTTCTAAACTTTGTTTATAAGTTGCACACGCCAATATCAATCCAAAAGTTAGATAATGATACCTATTTTAATTTATTAAATTTATTATTTTTTTTCCTCCAAAATAGCAAATGAGTATATAAATAAATAAAACTGACTCATTGTCAGTGGGGTGGATGTTCAGTCCTCTTGACTCTGGATCCGGCAATTGCGGGGGTTAACTGGTTAGGCATATTGAGGGAGGTTCAAAAGATGACACTATAGTGGAAGCTTACGAGAAAATTATTTAACATTGTAGGTAACAACATGTTTCTAAATCAACAGATCACGTGCAGTAATTCACAAATCTGATGGACTTTGGTTTCAGTCCTTTACAAAAGAACTTTGACAGTGTGTAATCAGATTGTTGTTACAATGTCTGATAACTATTATCTTTTGCTCTTGTCCGACGCAAGGTTCACATATTAAATGACAGACATTGATCTTGGTGTCCTAGCGTTCTGAAGCTCTTTATCTCAGATTATGCCTTAAATAAATAATAAATACCCAGGCCCGTAGGAAGCAATTTCAGTTTGGGGGGCACAACCATACCTATTTATTTGGGGGTACACACAACTACCAAAAATTCAATACAAACAAAGAGAAAAAAAAGTCATAAGACTTTATTATTGAGGGGGCAAAGCATATAGTAGTGAAGTTTTCTACAGTATTCTATATATCGGCAAAATTATTGAGAGGACGCCCCCCACGTGTCCCCGGGTTCCTACGGCCATGATATCCATACTTCAAACAATTTATTATCTACTATATTAGGTAGACTCAGTGCATTTGTCGCACATACAGATCTACAATCTGCTATACTGGCAAAGCAAGGCCACAGCAGGAAATCAAATACGAAGACGTGTAACGGTACACATAGTCATTATTAAGATATCATATGTCCCCAGTACTTACATATCCCCAATAAGAAGAACCATTGGCGTCTGGTAGGAATTGTCCAAACTTGGCCAATAGTTCTTCCAGGTTCTGAAACAGCTTGACCACCTGAGAGCATTATGCCTCTGTTATGGACTTACAACCAAGGTAGACGATTTTAATGTCACATAACATATCGGCGACGTATCGGTTTTTTCATTGTCTGTGTTACAAGTTTACTGCCGCAAAAGTTTTCATTCATAATCTGGTATGGTCAGGCAGTATAAATAGACCAGGTATGTATGAACGTCACTCTAGTCTATAGACAAGATGTTTGCCAAACGGCTCCCCCACTCCATTATGGTACCATAATACCAAGCTTCATTAAATTAGGCAATATTTTGTATTATAGATTCACACTTTATTTTCTAGACTTTTTTTAGTGGATAATAATCAAACATAGCCGCACACTCATTAGCCATACAGACTTAAGTGCATGTCCTTGCACATGTGTTATAGATTTTTTACATATATATTCTTTTAGCATCCCATAATATTTAGCTACATTTTAAAGATATCAAAGACTTTCATTGAAAACAAGCGCGATATCAGAATTCAGCACACATGCCTGCATGTCTTTGCATTTAGGTTTGATAAGGACGCACTACACTTATAGATCTATAACGTTCTAAATTTCGTCCTTTTTTTTAATTAAAAACAATTTAAGCCATTTTAAATTTCAACCAATCAAATTGCAGCACATGAACATGCGTAAAATTTCAAGAATTCTCCGACATAACAGTTGTAGAATTACATAATATATACCCATACTTTTAATTTCGTTGCATTTCGTCAAAAACAAGGAAGTAATTGAGATTTTTGTGTCAGTCAATCAGAGTGAAGCGCACGTGCATGCTAGTGCTGTTTTTCCTAATTCACTCACATCAGCTAAATTACACGACTAATTAAGTCAATATATTTATGTTCAAAGCATATCATCAAAAAATGAAAGTAAACGCTGTTTCAGTCATACTATGCAATCATCATGTGTGCGTAAAATGACCTTGGTTCCGTGTAACATGCCTGTTAACCCTAAAGAAAATTAATAACAATATGTTCTCAATCTTTATTTGGGGAACATACATGAAATTAAAGCTATTTTCAGAACAATGGCTGAAAGTGAAAGTACATAAGAAGACAACAATTTTGGACTTATTCCTTTTAAAATACTTATTCTACACTAATATACACAAATTAAAGTGAGCGTAGATGACAAACAAAGTGAATGTAGATGACCACGTTAAGGTAGATGAGAAGGCAGCATCAGTTGTAAAATTTCATGTAAAAAAAGTATTACAGTGTAATTTGTAATAAAATGTAATACATATAAATAATAACATTAACTTTTACAATCTGTTTGACCAGTATGGAAAATTCAATGACACAAATATTACATTGCAATATGTTACAAAAATGTAATGCTACAGTCTAACAAGGTTTATTTCTTACAATCATCAAATCAATTCTGAGATTTATGACTATTTACAGGCAACTATTTTACAATAATAAGAGGAATATGTCATACCCCAGTCATATAATTACAGTCCCAGGCTTTACATGTAATAACGTAATTGTCATGAAGTCGCTATTCACAAATTGAAGATTTAACTTTATAGAGACCATGTGAAAAATGATTAAAAATGATTGAAAGGAAAATAAAAATTTGTCAATTATATAACCACACCTATATGGAGACAAATTTTACACGTTTTTATTCTAAAGAATGAATTACACATTTTTTGCAGTCATCAATAGGGCTCTGATTTAATGTTTTTTACATACTTTGTAAATATGTGGACAAAACAAATCTTTGATTCTGAACATAGCAAATCTTATGACTATTTGATCACACACATGTAACATGAATAAATATACAATGTGTATATGCAATATGCAAAGTCGGAGGAAATGCTGACTTTAAAATAAAAAAAAATGTTACATTGACTTTAGATGTAATCAGTTTTGTAACACTGCGTCCCTGCAACAGCTGATGTAAAAATACACAGACTGTAAGTATTTTCAGGAATTTATATATGTTTTACTTTTGTTTGACTCTTATATGCAAGATACTGAAAATATACAACAAAACTTGAAATACAACTCAGTCCTCTTACGATCATATATAACAAATAATCTTCACTGGGGGATTAGGTTTTTCTCTGTGTAATCAAATTCACTTTCCTGAATTTAAAAAAATAGGTATACCTACAGGTTTATTCTATTTAACACAGAAGTATATATACATTCAAAATCTATTTACAACTTCATCTTTTAAGATCATACATTAAATCTCTTGTTTCTGGTAATTTACATCTAATCAATCTGACTGAATTTTTAATTCCAAAGTAATCACCTGCATGTTGGCATGAAATTAATAGACAGGTGTAAATAAAAATTCCCA